CTAAAGATGTCGAGCACGGCATATCCCAGCAGGATGAGAAGATCCGAGAGCTAGAGAGGAGGGTTAAGGCAGTCGAGCGGAAAGCTGAAGCGGCTGTAGAGCTGGAACAACAAGTGAAAGCGGCTTAGTAGAAGTTACTGACAGCCATAGCAGATTACAAGGCCTTCGCCGCCTTCCTCGAGGATGTTTAGGTCCTTCCCGAACCTTGGCTGGCCACATCTTCCACTCCTAGGCCACCGCCAAACCCTTCTTCCTGTCTTTGCTCATGACCGAGGTTAGGGAAAGTTTAGTCTAGGAGTATGGCAAATGGGCATTCAAGACCAGGAAGTGGAAAATATATACGGAGGTCAAGGAGGGTCGCACGGAGTCCCTAGATGGCGACGACCTACCGTCTGTACTCGGGATTCTGCTCGAGGAGGTGGTCAACCTCGGCCGGCCTGTACATCGACCATGCCACTGTTGCTGCTACACTTAAATCGAGTCGTGTTTATCGAGCCTGGGCGTTTTACGCCCTTATCTTATTCTAGGCTCGATTGTATAACCTTACGCCTAAGTCATTCCCCTTTTGCTCGGGTCTTTCTGAGACCAACCTAATTTGGTGAAGTGCCTAAGGTCGGATTAGACCAATTTGATTGATAAGTTTTTGAATCAGATTGTTTTACGCTCCATTTAAGGATTTATAAATAATCGGGCTCGACTACATTAGTCCCAGCCTGATGCCGTTGTGATAACGTGTGACTTTGTACTTCCGGTCTCAGGTTCCCGAGCCCATTACCAGCCCCCACTCCCTGTGGTACCCAGGTCGGCACCATATGGGAGTAGGCTATGAATGGCTCCGGTGAGTAAGTTTTTCATTTTCTTAGTTTCATCCTCCGCTTAGGACGAACCTACTGTATTGGTTAAGTTGGGTTCATTTTAATCATTCGCGTTGAGGTCGGCGACGACCAATTATGCGTATGCCTTTGGACGAGGTCAATTGTAGCTAAGCATATGCGTTCAGCGTACGTCGATCGGTGGTACCGACATCTGCTATGATTTTTTCCCTTAATCATGCCCCACTCCTAATGGTGCTGGGGTCAGCACCAAAGAGGGGTACTGCAGGGTTGGTTGAGTTAAAATCTCTTATCGCGGTATCTCGCGTTATTGATCTGATCGGGATTTTTTCCTGACCATGCGTGTAACGTCTGTATATTGGATCGGGCTGTATGGTTGCACCCTTTCTTTTTTTATTGCCTCAATGAGGTCGGTTCTGCTTCTAGCCATAACTACTCGATTTGGAGAGTAATTTTTTGACTCGGCAGTGTAAATTTTCGGGGTTACCAGGTTTCTCCCTGCTCCCTTTCGAGTAGAGATAAACCTGTGTTATCGTTCAACCACGTCGGTTTGTCCATTTTATGGTGTGGTCGGGATGTCATCCCGACCTTTTCGATCATCTTAATAGCGCTTCTCTCCGAAGCTCCCTTTTAGGGTTCCTGGTCTAAGGACCAATAGCTTTATCCAAGCGTGAGGATACTTACTCTTATACCTACTCAGGTTAGGGCTCTAAGGACCGATTCACGGTCTTAAAACTGTTCCTACTCCCCGACATGGTGATCACTAGTGAGGACCTTTATTCAGGTTGATCGGTCTGGAGGCCTTCATTGACATTAACGATCATAAGCAGGACACGCTTCTCCCGAGGGCCCTTTATTCGGCTGATCGGTCCGAATACCTTTATTGACCTTATCGATCATGATCGGACATGCTTCTCCTAAGGCGCTTTATTAAGGTTGATCAGTCCGAAGACCTTGATTGGTCTTAAGGATCATAATCGGGCACGCTTCTCCTGTCGGTCTAGTAACCCATCTTTTTTTCTGATCTTTTGATCGTTATTTTTTCTGACCTTGTGGCCGTTGATTTTTCCGACCTTACTACAAGAAAAATGCACATAGACAACACTAGAAAGACAACAGTTTTTAAGAAAAGTGTTGTCTTTTGTATAAAAGACAACAGTTTGGTCCAAAACCGTTGTCTTTGATGCAACACTTTTGTCAAAGACAACGGTTTTTACTTAACTGTTGTTATAAGTGTGTTGTCTTTGTGCATTTTATGAAAAGACAACACCACAACGACAACGGTTTTTTAAAACTGTTGTCTATGTGCATTTTTTTTTATAAAAAGACAACGGTTTTTTTAACCGTTGTCGTTGGTCTGTTGTCTTTAAGCGCAATAGAATACACAACACTAGAAAGACAACGGTTTTTTAAAACCATTGTCTTTGTGCGCTCTTTTTTTTTTAAAAAAAAAAAAAGACAACGGTTTTATTTAACCGTTGTCGTTGGTGTGTTGTCTTTAAGCGCATTAGAATACACAACACTACAAAGACAACGGTTTTTTAAAACTGTTGTCTTTGCGCATTATTATTTTATAAAAGACAACGGTTTTATTTAACCGTTGTCATTGGTGTGTTGTCGTTAAGCGCACTCGAATACACAACACTAAAACGACAACGGTTTTATATAACCATTGTCGTTGCGCGTTCTTTATAACCGTTGTCTTTGGTATGTTGTCTTTAAAAGACAACGGTTTTAAAATATAAAATAAAAACTAAGATGTTAACAACAAAGTTGAACCTATGACCTCAAATTTAACAAGTAAGAAATATAACCAACTAAGCAACACAAACTCTTATATTTAAAGGTGCAACATCTGGTATATAACTGGGTTACTTCTGTGTTGTTTGTGAAAACCAAGACAACAAATTTAGAAAATAGTTGAAGAATTCCCCCGAGGAAGAATAGAACCTAAAACCTTTAACATAATAAACTAAGTTAAACCCACCAAGCCACACCAACACTTCTTTACTTAAGCGCAACATCTAGTATATTACCAGTTTGCTTATGTGTTGTCTTTGAGAACCAAGACAATGATTATATAAAATAAGTTAAAAATGCCACCACAAAGGATAGAACCCAAGACCTTTAACATATCTAACATAACAAACAAAGCTAAATCCACCAAGCCACACCAACTCTTATGTACTAAAGTGTTACACCTTATCTTTTACTATAATTTAACAAAGAAAGAATACAATTCAAAAGTTAATTTAATAGTTCTATTTTCGTTCATATTTAAATATATAAAATTATTCACCAAAATTTCAAAGTAAATTTATTAAAGTTTTATTTTCAATTATATTACAATTAAGACCAATCTATGAATTCAAAATAATAATGAGAGAAAATTACATTTTTGGTCCTGTGACTATTATGGTGTTGTTAATTTGAGTACTTGACTTTTAAAATTATCAATTTAGTTCCCTAATTATGCAATTTTTAACACATTTGGTCCTGCCGGCCAAATTGGTCAAATATCACCGGAAAAATCTAACCCATTTTTAATTATTAAATCATGAGGGCAAATCGGTCATTTCATATAATTTTCTTCTTCCTCCTTACCCCCTCCCGGACGAAATTGCAGCGCTGCTATGGAATCTAAATCTGACGATGAAAATCGAATTTCATTAAATTTAAGGGATGAAATGGGTTAAATTGCAGCGCTAAATTGAAAGAAATAGATTTGATGTAACATTTTCATGAAAAATAAGGAATGTGCAAATCAGGAAAGGTTGTAGCTGCAATTCATTAAATTGAAAGAAAGTAAAAGAAATTGAGGAGTGGTATCAAGAGGCAAAGCAGAGGGTAGTGGAGAGAAGTGAAAATTCAGAAGTGGCGGCGTGATGAAAATGTTAAATCTAGATGAAAACCGGATTTAGTCGCCAGTAGTGAAAGGGAGAAGAAAGTGACATAAAATGACCAAATTGCCCTTATGATTTAATAATTAAAAATGATTTTAAATTTTTCCGGCGACATTTGGTCGGCAATTTGGCCGGCAGGACAAAATGTGTTAAAAATTGCATAGTTACGGGACTAAATTGATAGTTTTGAAAGTCAAGTACTCAAATTAACAAGACCACAATAGTCATAGGACTAAAAGTGTAATTTTCTCTAATAATAATAATTATCAAGTATAAAAAACAATATGGGGTCGTGTTCATAATGGTGCGGTATGATGTGTAGGGGTTAAGGGCGGTATGATAGGGGCCGGGGTTGGTAATCGACTCTTCCGGCTAGCGCATGACTAACAAGGTTAGCTATATGTTGGTAATCGACCCTTCCGGCTAGCGCATGACTGACAAGGTTAGCTATATGTTGGTAATCGACCCTTCCGGCTAGCGCGTGACTAACACGGTTAGCTATGTTGGTAATCGACCCTCCCGGCATGCCTGGGACACATTGAGAATGGATATGAAAGAGTAATTGATCGATGTCGTACAGTTAGCTATATCACATTTTTTTTGCCGCGATCTTAATTAGCTCTATGTTCATAATTACCAAACTATATATTCATAATTTTTTAATTGAAATGCATATTCATAATGATTGAATAACTCTGATCCATATTCACAATTACAAAACTTTATGTTTATAATTTGCGATGTTTATATTCCCAAGTGTTGATAACTATACAGTTTAGAAATTATGAATCAACAATACAGAAAGTATGAATCTGCAGTATAAAAATTATGAATTTACTGTATAGAAATTATTAATATATACAACTGTATTTAAATTAAAAATATACTATATAGAAATTATGAATCTACATTATAGAAATCTATGAATCTCGTGTTCTATATATATATATATATATATATATATATATATATATATATATCATAACAAATAAGATACGTACTATATTTTTAATAGTTTGTAATTTTGATTAGTTTTTTAATAATTGACAAAGAAATTTTTAATAATTTGTAATTTTGATTAGTTTTTTTTTCTATTATTACTGATTAACTTTTTATAGTCAAAATAATGGTTGATACGAGACCATAATATTTATACTTAAAATTTTCACCGTGCATCGTAATGATAAAATACTACTCGTATTATATATATCTTCTTTCATTTTAAGTTTTTTGCTTCCCTCCCAAAAAAACTCACACAGTACACTTAGTGAAAAAAATTCAATTCCCTCCCAAATAAAAATTCCTAACACTTAGCGCGAAAAAAAAAAAAAAAAAAAAGATTCAGTTCCTTCGCAAACAGCTTGAAACTCACACGGCGGTCCTTTGCAAAAACAAAACTCAGTAGCGGCCCTCTGCAAAATACACAGCGAAAAACAGGCGAGAACACAGTGGTAATCGTCGGCGGACTTCAATCTCTCGCCAACAAAGTGGTAACCGTCGGGGCCATCACCGCACTAGCGAAAAACACCGACGCTGTTTCTCCCTCGCCGGCCAGCCACCGCCGTCGGCGTCGCTACAGGTTAGTCACCAATATTTTTTTAAACCCTAATCCCTAATTTCTTAATTGTATTGTTGAATTTCCATATTTGAAAGCTATGAATGTTCTTAAACCCTAGGTTAGTTGTGGATTATTAGGTTAGTTTATGAGACAAGACCTGTATACTGTGTATATTATGTTGTGGATTATTATTATTATTATTATTATTATTATTATTATTATTATTTCAAAATGCAGTGGTTGTATCTCAATGCAGTGGATTATAGAGATTGTTTGTTGTATGGAGGCCACATCATAGCAAATGATGAAAGAATGACTAAATGGTTATCCTTAGGCAAGGGTAAGAGTTGGGAAAAGACAAAAATGACAAAGTTATGTTTGACAAAGAACATTCAAATTACCATTATCTGTTGTTTTATATGATTTTGTTTCTAGTACTGCAAATTAAAGTGAGTTTTTGACAACAATTTTTATGGTATGAGTACATTACATAGTTGATAAAGAATTGATCATTGCCTCTCTGCTTCTGTTTCTAATTATGAATTTCAGGATTGAGTCTGATATTGTTTTGATTGCAAAATTATGCCAGGGAATGCATTTAGATCCCAGTATATATCAAAGGACTAATAATTAGTAAGTGGAAATGCATCGATGCAAATGCTCACTATAATATTATCTTGCTTTATCTGTTGTTTTCATTAGAATGAATATCAAAGAGGTTGGCTTATCTGATATGGTGCTGGATTTGCTGGCTCAGTGTTTTTTTTTTTTTTTTTTTTTTTTTTTTTTTGTAGAATTATTTGTCTATCTTTCCTCTAACACTTTAGCACATTGTACACTTGAAATTCTGTACATACCATCTCATGCATTGTTGATTTCATTTTAGGGAGAAAAGTATGGGAAAACAGCAGGCTAATGGGTCAAAATTTAGGGAAATGAAAGAAAATTGTGGCAGATGTGCACATACTGTGAATTCTTCTGTTATATGAGCAAGACTAGTCTCAAACTATTTATACATTGAATTGCTTGATCATATTATGGTTATATTAGAGCTACTTGATTAATCGAAGAGGATGTAAGATCTCTGGTTTCATAATCTAATATTCTAGTGAGTAGTAGAGGTGCATGGGTTTTTAAACTTGCAAATGGCAATTAGTATGGGAACTTGCCTTTGCTTGCTTCTGGCCCATAATTTATTAGTTTTGGAGTTCTTTTCCTTTCAGAATTCTATTAGCTCTGATGTTATTGTATAGATGCATAAACACACACACATTTATAAAAGGGGTGATTTTGTTGTGTCTCAAGTTTCAAGCTTAGATATCTATCTTTTGAAGAAGGTAGTTGAAGACTGTGGTTTTATACAGTCTGACTCTTCTAAGTATCTTGCTCATTTAAAATTTTGTGCTTTATAGGTTGGCCTGTTTCCAGATGTAATAGAGCGGAAAATTAAGTAGCGCGCATTTTGACAAGGGGGATGACGTAAGATATATTTGAATTACTTTCCATGCAATACAGATTTTATGACATTGTTGGTGATGTATGCATGGTGATGGAAGATTTCAGCTCTAGTGACCGGTGAATTCTACACTAGGAAGAATCATTTTCCTGGTTTTGGCAGGCCTTTTGTATTTAATGCAGAAGTTTTGTTGAGGTCATTATATAGTCATTTGCTTTTCTAAGATTTCTGTTCTGCTGACCAACAATTTCCAACATTTTGTATATTATCCCCATTTCATTTATATAGGGTTGGGCGTAATGTGGAAGCTAAAGATGCGGTTAGGGGTGCTTTAAAATCACCATGGTGGACTTTGGATTGTGAATATACCAGGTCTGCCTCCTCTGTGAGTAATGAATATAGTCTTCTTAGCATACTGTCTGTCTGATAAATAATTAGGATCCATGGTACTTTCAAGAAAATAGAATCTCTCCCTCTTTCTCTCAGTCTTTCTCTTTCTTGTTCTTTTTCCACAGATCAATTAAATGGATTATAGATCAAACTGATTGATTTAGTCTAATCTGATGGTTTCATTTTAGTTTTCAAATCACAAGCAACATAATATCCAGTTATTGGATGAGTCTTCAGGTTCCTCCAAAACACACACATATGTATTAGATTTTAGAAAGAATTAACATGATGGGATCAGTTGTTTTTGTTTTTGGTTTTGGTTTTTTTTTTTTTTTTTTTTTTCCTTAAGATTTGTGAAAAATATAAATATATTAATACCTCATATTTCTCCGGCATGCTCAAGACATTAGAGAGGTACCAGAAGTGCAACTATGGAGCACCAGAGACAAATATATCTACAAGGGACTCTTTGGTACGTATTTCCCAACTATTTCTACAATTCCCTTTAATAATTTATTTTAATGGGTAATAAGAGAAGTGTTTTACTTATTAGTTTATTGTTTATAAATTGCTTATTACCATATATGTTTATTAATTTTCACTTGAAAATTTAACACTTAAAATTATTGAAAGCATTTGAGGGAAAAATGTGCAAGTTTATTATAAAAAATTAGTGGGCATGGTGTGTATATTTTACTTGAAAGTGCTTGCATAACTATATCTTTTCTTTTAAATGCCAGAGTGATCTCCATGGTGTTCCACTTGCTCCTTCATCTTTACTTGGGATGGCAACCTTCATTCCACCAAGTCAAATTGCTGCACTGCATCCATTTTTAATGCATCAATAGGGAGTAGGTATGATTTGATCATTAGAACGTTGTGATCATTTAGATTTGGTTCGTGGAATTGTTTTTTGTAGTATTATGACTTGGATGATATATGATTCGATTTGAATTGGTCATGGAAGTATTTAGACTTGTTAATTAGTTCTTTTGTATTTTGAACCTTAGCTTGTGCAAAATTATGTAACTACACTTGGCCATGATGAATGGATAAATTGATTTTTTATATGATTAAAATTTAAGCAGGTTAAAAACGGTTAAAAACCGTTGTCAAAAACCGTTGAGACAACGTTTAAAAACTGTTGTCTATTTTACAATAGATAACAATTTGAAACTGTTGTCTTTTCTACAAACGACAACAGTTTATGGGCGTGACAACAACGGTTTCAACAACACACAATAGACAACAGTTTATAACTGTTGTCTTTTAAAGAAAAGACAACAGTTAAAAACCGTTGTCTATGTGCATCACTTTTAACAACACCGGTTTTAACAACATTGAATAGACAACGGGTCAAAAACCGTTGTCTTTGAAAGAAACAACAACAGTTTAAAACCGTTGTCTATGTTCGTGACTTTTAACAACACCGGTTTCAACAACACTTAATAGACAACGGTTAAAACACTGTTGTCGTTTATAGAAAAGACAACGGTTAAAAACTGTTGTCTATGTGCGTGACTTTTAACAACACCGGTTTCAACAACACTTAATAGACAACGGTTAAAAAACCGTTGTCGTTTCTAGAAAAAGACAACGGTTTAAAACCGTTGTCTATGTGCGTGACTTTTAACAACACCGGTTTCAACAACACTTAATAGACAACAGGTAAAAAACCGTTGTCATTTTTAGAAAAGACAACGGTTATTAACCGTTGTCTATGTGCGTGACTTACAACAACACCGGCTTCAACAACACTTAATAGACAACGGTTAAAAAACCGTTGTTGTTTCTAGAAAAGACAACGGTTAAAAAACCGTTGTCTATGCGCGGGACTTACAACAACACCGGCTTCAACAACAGAAATTATACCCCTACGACAACGGTTATTAACCCTTGTCTATGTGCATTTTTCTTGTAGTCTTGTCGTCTTTGTTTTTCCAACCTGGTGGTTGTCGCCGACTCCCTAGTCGGGTTCCGGGCCTGGCCGGCCAACGTGCCTACTTTGTAGGACTTATACCGGGATCTTAATCCTGACCTTCATTGTCTTCCGATTGTCTTCAGGTAAAGGAGATCAGCTTAACACCTTAACTTAATTAGATTGATTTTTAGCAACAGTTTACAGTCCGAGTGGCCTAAATACAACCTACTGAAACAAATTGCATTACAACTTGATAATGGTCGAGGAAAACAACGCCCCGACTTAATAATGGTCCGCCGCTTGGGGAAAGTAATCTTCATCTTCGGCAGCAGAGATGAACTACTCTAGCATGGTACTCCATAGGCCCTTGAGGACTCTTAGTTGATTGCTCATTATGCTCCCACGCTTGGAGGCGTGGGCCTAGTCGTGTGTCGAATAGATTGGCGGGGTCCAGCCCTAAGATCGGGCTGAGCTTCTATTGGTCTGTTGGTTTGTTCGATCGGATGATCAAGCAGGGCGATGTTTCCTACCGCCGTTGGTGCTATTAGTATGCCGGTGAAGGTCGAAACGACAGTGAACAATGAAGGTTGGAACATGAATTGTTGAGGGAAGAAGCCCGCTATGGAATGACCTGAGGGCGGGTACCCTCATTCGAGCGAGGCGAGATCCCATTCGGGGACATAGCCACGCATGAAATGATTTCCTGCCCATCTCAACGTGGCAGCTGTATTACACTTTTCGCGATTATACTGAGACCGATCGCTCCTGAGGAAGTGGGTTTGGTTTGCGTTGTTGAAGTGGAAGCTTATCGAAGCGATAATTGGGAGCTGAGGTCGAAGCCAGCTTGGTTAAGATCTTGCTCTGCGTCAAAATTATATTGAGGATGTATGTTTCGGGCATTTGGCCGAGCTCGTAGGTGTTTGTGCTGGGTCCCCATAGACTGTGCCAAAATGATGTAGTAAATTGCCAGGATTACTACGAATACGTATTAAGTATGGGGTAGGACCGGATTATCGTCCTTATGAAGTCTGCTTAGCTTGATGGTTAAACATGTGTTAAGTTCGAGGACTAGGCGTGAGGCCGGAGGTCCCCGAGCTAACTAAGGCTATAGAGAATTTGCCAAAGGTCCCCTTTATTGTCACTTCGTGGGGCATTTATAGGAGATTCAAGGGACACATGCCGAGGGGCCGGCATGTGCGCCACGTGCCTCCCATGCACTCGAGGACCGGGTCAGCTAAAGAGAGAGGAACACGTGTAAGAGTGTATTTGGTTACCTGTTTACTTGTTGAAATTGATTCAGACGTTAAGTATTTAGGTTTGGGGTCTCGGGCGAGCAAGTAAGTCGGGATCAAGCTTTGAGAGAAGTGTGATGTGCCTAACTAAGCTGCGGAGTCGGTCGTCCTGTAGGTCAGGTTGATCAAGTGCCGCTCTCCGGTCGGTTCAGGTCGGGAAATTTCCCGGGTCATGTGGTGACTCGAACCTGATCAGGTTCTTGGTGAGGGGTCATACGTAGTCGGGGTATATTTCGTATCACATACAATATAAAATTTTACATAATCTGCATTGATATACTTTGAAGTACTTATTTAAAAATAAACATTGGGCATTATTCCATTCGCGCAATGCGTTTGAAAAACTAGTATATATATATATATATATATATATATATATATATATATATATATATATATATATATATATATTTATATATATATATATATATAGAGAGAGAGAGTTAGGATCATATGAGAACACCTCTTTAGATGAGAACATGAGAACAAATCCTGTGTATTCAATATTTGATTTCAATGGTTTTGATCAATTTTAAAAGTGGCGCTAGTTTTTAATTGTACAAGGGTGTATATGTAATATGTAGTTTTTTCTTATTTATTATTATTAGAAATTCCGTGATATTCTCCCTTCCCCATGCTTATAATATTATTTACTTTCCCTATATGTTTTTTCTATTTCTCTTACCAACGCAAACACCGTTTTATCCCCCTCTCTATTCGGTCACTGGTTCGCGTGGTGGTCGGCGGCGTATCTCTGCTGTTGGTTTCTCCCCTCCAGTCACTCACGGTGTTCGAGGGCATGTAGGGTTTTCGCACAAGGTGGTCGGCGTTGATTGCTTTCCAGAGGTCTCTGGTGAGTTGCGGCTACTAGGGTTTACACCTCGTGAATTGCAGCTCCTAGGGTTTATCAGGTTCGCAGCTTGGTTGTAGATTATTTTCGGTATTCAATCGCTTTGTTTGCGGGATTTGCCTATGGAGGATTCTCGTGCCAGACGTTCCAAGCGTAGGACGCCATGTTCACGCACTGAAAAATGTTTTTTTTTTTTTTTTTTTTTTTTTTTTTTTTTTTTTTTTGTATTTATGGTGGGTTAGGATTTGAATGGAGTATAATTTCTTTTTTTCTTTTTTTAATTCTATATGAAATTCCAGAGAAACATATAAAGAAGTTGTCAGAGACTCCTAAGTTGATTTTTCTTGCGAATTGATTCATGCAATCACTATTTGTTTTTGGTTTGGTATTGTTTTTGTTTTGTTGATAGTGCTACCCGTTTTTTTCTGCAAAAAGATTTATGAAAATTGAGTGTGTGCACTCACAAGAATTGAGTAACATGCAGTGTATTAGAGTACTAATAAGTTGTAAGTGGGTAGTTTTTAGGTCAAAAGCAATTTTTTTTTAGTATTTTTATAATCATGTCTCTAGTGTAGTGCAAATTATTTTTGTCATTGGTTATTTCGTTAAGTGTTTGCATCGAAGACATCAGGCATGTGCAATCATAATAATATATAGACTAATATGCATTTTTTTGGCTTTTTTTTTTTCATTTTTTTTTTCATTTCTGTAAAAGGACAAGGAATTCTAGGGTCTAATTTTTTTGTTTACTTTATTTTCCTTTTGGTTTTTTTTTTCTGTTCTTTTTTTTTTTTTTTTTTTTTTTTTTTTTTTTTTTTTTTTTTTTGCTCAGTACTTGCATGTGTTTAAAATAAATTTGTATAAGGTGCGTGCAATCACAATAGTTATGTAACATGCATTTTCTTAGAGTTCTAATTACTTGTAGGTGGGTAATTTGTAGGCCAACAACAGTTTTGTTTTTCCAATTTTTTTTATAATCATTTCTCCATTGTTGGTGCAAATTAATTTTGTCGTTACCTATTTGGTTTTTTTATTAAGTGTTTTGCATGCAAGACATGATGCATGTGCAATCACAATAATAGAGTACTACACGTTCAAGTCTATGCATACTTCATTTGCTGTGTGTGCAGTCTTAGAACATGTCTATATAATTGTGCAATGTCCCTTTTTATTGTTACATTGGTTCTAATGTGTTAAGTGTTCGCGTGAAACGTAAGAGGTGTATGCATTCTTGTTAATGCATTATTTACTTCTCTAGTTTGTGCATTCAGCATATATCTTGACACTCCTCACCAATTGGTAACTTGTTTTCTTTTACTGTTTTTTTTATTGGTTATTCGCAATGTCTTTGCATTACTGTGCATATTCATCCACGTACGTGTCTTCGTTGTTTAATTTGGTTTGAAGGTGGACTTTTTGTCAACGTGCTTGCACGATGTTGGCTATCATGAAATTTCAGCAAAGGTATTCGCATTGGTTCCACGGCGACTTCGTATGTCTTGGCGTGACACAACAAATAGTGTTGATAGTGGGCTATTTGCGATGCGTCATATGGAGACGTACGTTGGCCAGCAAACCTCTAGGTGGTCGTGTGGGTTTAAGAAAGGGGATGTGGAGTCTTTGCAGGCATTTAGGATGTTTTTCATGAAGGAGATTCTACTCAGTCATAATAACTCTCATCCCACAGATTCTAAATGATTTGATGCAATATGCTCCCATTTTAGCTTAATTTCATTATGTTTAACGTTTACACTTCGTTTTTGGAACTACATTTATCTATTGTTGGAGATTAGTGCTCAGTACCTTTATTTGTTTGCCGTTTTCCAATAAACTGTTATAATATTTTGGTTCTTTTCTACATTT